GAGTGTGATTCAAAAGCCTTTTGTAAAACATGCAGGAAGGAATTTACCATTTGCCCTGGCGGTGAGTCTGATGTTAAGCATCATGCTGAATCAAAAAATCATGGACAAAACACCCACACTCACAAGAGCAATACCCTGGCCTCACATTTTTTCAGCAAGCCAAATGAATCCTTCAAGATAACAAGGTTATCGCTACTGAGCTAACTCAAGTTTACCATACAGTAGTCCATCAACACTCCTATCGCTCGTGTGACTGTGAACTTAAACTGGTACCTACCTTGTATTCAGATTCAACGATTGCAAAGCACGTTAGCTGTGGCCGGACTAAAGCGGAGTCATTGGTCAAAAATGTGCTGTCCCTACTCTCAACTGAATTTTTAAGACCTCAGCAAGCCAGATGGTCCCTATTTCTCAGTTGCCACAGATGCATCTAACAAGGGCAATGTGAAAACTTTCCCCTTATCACTGAGATACTGGACACCTGAACATGGGGTCCAAGATAAACTGTTAGATTTCTATGAATAAAGCTAAGAGACTGCAGAGGCAATAAGAAATACATTACTTGAAAAACTTGTGACACGCAAACTAGACCTAAACAAAGTGTCTTCCTACTGTGCTGATAATGCAAACATGAATTATGGAAAGCAACAATTGATGTACCAGAATTTAAAAAAACAAAATGAAAATATCTTGCCAGCAAATTGCCCTGCCCATGTTGTGCACAACGCCATGAAACATGGTAGCAATACCCTACAAGTTGACCTTGAGACTCTGGTGATTAAGATGCTCAATCATTTCAGCAGCTCTGCTAAGAGAGTAGCAGCACTGAAGGATATGCTTTGTGATTGCCCAGAAGCAAGTTATGGCTATTGCAAAGTCAGCCAAAAAGTACTAGACTTCTGGCATATCTGAGAGAGATGCAAATTGGGAAGTTGATTTATTGACTGAATAAAAAACCCGGCCCTTTACCCCTGTTTGTTTTAGTGTACAAATAAATCTGTATGTTTAAATCTACATTACGACTAAGTCTATAATTTAGACTCACTGATTCCAGACCTCTGTGATGTAGTTTGCTTCAGCTGTCAGTGGCTGGGGCAGAAGGCAGGACTTGGGGCCTCCCCTCTGTGACTGCGGCTGGAGCCGGAGCTAGAACCGGGACCCTTCACTCCCCTGCCCTGCAACTGGATCTGACTTTGCAATCAGAATCCTGCGCCCCTGGCCCTGTGGCTTCTACTGGGGGCTGGAGCTGGGGCCATGAGTCCTTGCCCTGTGGCGCAGGCTGCAGCAGGGGACGTACAACCCCTCTTGCAGCTTCCTGGGGCCCCTGTCATGGCTCTGGTCAGGGCTGTGCACCTGTGTCTGTCGTAGTCTTTCTTCCCCTATGCCCTGCTCACCCAATGTGTCCTGATATTTCACTCTTGCGATCTGGTCACCCTCATTAGCAGTCACACACCCCTCAACTCCATTTCTGGGAGAGCAGTCATCCATCCATTTCTGTGCTCCACTAGGCTGTGGGGCAAGGGGGACTGCAAGTTGGGATTCCTGGCTCTGGGAGGTGAGTGGGGTCTAGTGAATGAGAGCAGGTAGGGCTGGGAGTCTGGACTCCTGAGATCTATTCCTGGCTCTAGGAGGTGAGTAGGGGTCTAGTGACTAAAGCACGGGACTTGGGAGTCAGGGATACTGGGTTTTAATCCCAGATGTGGCTGGGGAGGAGGCTCTAATGGGTAGAGCCGGGGGACTGGGAGTCAGGACTCTTGGGTTCTATTGCCAGCTCTGGGAATAGAGTGAAATGGGGTCTGGTGGGTTAGCGACGCATAGCGGGGACTTGGCGTCAAGGCTCTTGGGTTCTGTTCCCATCTTTACAAGGAGTTTATGATCTAGTAGAGGAAATGGGAGGGACTGAGAGTCTGGATTTCTGAGTACTATTGCCTATTTGGGGAGGAAGTAGTATAGTCTACTGATCACAGCGGGGGATTGGAAACTCAGATGCTTGGGTTTTGTTCCAAACACCAGGAGGAGTGTTATCTTGTGGTTAGAGTAGTAGTAGAGTATTGATAGATGGGAGTCTTGGGTTCTGTTCCCAACTCTGGGAGGGGAGTGCGGTCTAGCGGTGAGGAGGAGGGGGCTCTGTGAGTCAGGACTCTTGGCCTCTATCCTTAGCTCTGCCACTGACTTTCCGTTCATAACCTCGGTCATGTTGCTCTGTGCCTTACTTTGTTATTCTGTAACATGGGTACAATAATACTCACCTAAGTACCACGAGGGTGTGAGGCTTGCTTAAGCAATACGCAAAAAGCCCTTTGAGAGCACAGAGAAGAGCAGAGTATGATTGTATGGGATGGCTGTGTTCACCCCAGAGACTGAGGCTGTAACCAGAACCAGCATCTGTACTTGAACCCTGAGCCTAGCTTGCAAAGAATGCAGAACCTGCCTTCAAGAAGAACACTGTCAAGTGCAACAGAAACTGTTTATTTGCGCCAGCATTTTACGTAGGTATTTTCTTTGTACAGTAAATAGATGCTTTTGCCCCAGGTCGAGGTGGAGTTTAAACCCTACATGGATCGGGATGAGCCACATTTTGATCCTGTTAACTGGATTTTTTTTTAACTTGAAAATGTGCATTTTATTAACACAAAGCATCGGGGACAAGGAGACACATTCTCAAATCCAACCAAGGCAGCCGAGTTAGGTCTGTCTATGCTGCAGTCAGAGGCTGCAATTGCAACTGGAGCAGACATACCCCAGCTCGTTTTCATCTCGCTAGGTTAGCTTCCAGAACAGTGACGCTGCAGCAGCCCATGCTTCAGGATGGGCTAGTCCTGTGATTAATGACCCAGGGGTCCAGACAGGCTTGTACAGCCAGTGCTGAAGTATTGCTCTGGTACCTGAGGTAGCGCGAGTAAAGCTAGCTCAGGTATGACTGCTCAAGCTGTAGTCACCCCTTCAGTCGTGATTTATACTGGTGTAATTGAGTGGTCTGGTGGTTCAAACTAGGCATCAGGATTCTTGGGTTCCATTCCCGGTTCTGTGAGGGGAAGTAGGGTCTAGTGGTTAGAGCTGTAGGGGCTGAGAATCAGGACTCCTGGGTTTGGTTACCAGTTCTGGAAGGAATGGAGTCTAGTGTGTCAGAGCAGCAGGAATGAGGGTCAGGACTTCTGCGTTCTGTTCCGAGCTCTGGCTGGAGAGTAGTGTCTAATGGTTAGAGCAGATGGGGCTCGGAGTCGGGACTCCCAGGTTTCATTCCCAGCTCTGGAATGGGATGGGAGGTTAGTGTGTTTGGATTGGGGTGGGGGGGATTGGGAGTCAGGACTCCTGACTCTGAGGGAAGTGAAATGTAGTGGGCGAGGGCAGGGGAAGCTGAGAATCAGGACTCCTGGGTTCCCTTCCCTATTTTCAAAACTGAACGAAGGAAATATCCTTTCTGACATGATGGTGTTCGACTGTAGAACTCACTGATACAGGATGATATTGAGGCCACAACTTAGCAAGATTCAAAGGGGAACTGGACATCTCTATAGGTAACAGGAATATCAATAATACAACAAAGCGTTTTAGAAGGCATATAAACCTCATGCTTTGGGCCTTAAGCCAATCTGTGACGAGCGGATCTGTGCGAAATTTTTCAACCGAAACTGTTTTGGGATGAAAAATGCAGATTTGGTGACGCTACAATGGTTCATGATTTCCTGTTGGTTTTGCTGAATTGTTCGTTTCGGGGGGGGGGGAATCCCAAAAAAGTCTAAATTTTTTAATTTTTCGATTCAAAACAACATTGTTTAGAAATTTCCATGAATTGTTTTTAATAAAAATTACTAAAGTTTGAAAGCAATTTGCAATCAAAGCAAAAAGTTTAGTTTGAAACACATTTATTACTCTTTCTTTGATTTGCTGAAAATTTTGAACAATTTCATTTTCAGCCAAACTGTTTTTCCTTTGATTTTTTTGTTTTGTTTTTTTTTCCTAAATGTGAGCTTGAAAAAATTTTGATCAACTTTAATGACTGTTCAAGATCAGGATGAGACTTAATGGTGAGGAGATTATTTCATATCTGCCCACTGCAGGGTTCCCATACCTTCCTCTGAGGTATCTATTGCTGACCACTGTCAGAGAGACTACATGGACCTTGGCTGTGATCAGTCCAGCAGTTCCTATATTCTAGGTTTTGAACTACATGGAGGATCTAAATAGAGTAATTGATTCATGTCTCCCACCTTGCACAGCAGCAGGTCCCGTGGTATAAATTCCTGCTGTGATTTGGAGGTCAACATGCTGTTTGAAGAGGTTGATTCCCTGCATCATTTTCTGTCTCAGTGACCCAGAATTAGTAAAGTTTAACTACATTTATTTCAGAAGCATTTTGGCTGTAGAGCAGTGTATCCAGCTGCCTGGGTCCTCCAGTTCCTAGAGGACCTGTATACATTGTATAGTGCAAGGGACTTACTAGTAATGAGGAGGGCATTCTGTAGCTCCTGACTGATGCACATGGCCTGTGCGTGTTCTGTAGAAGATGTATTGTGGAATCTCTGTTCTGTTGTGAATCATCGTCATCTGATGACGGCACTCCACTCTAAATAGTTCCATTCCATTCTTGGGGACTGTAGGGGTTCATCCCCCTCCGGGGCGGCTGGGAACCAGGCCGCCTCACTACTTAGGTCCGGTGAGTTGGGGAATTATTCCATATTTGGGGACCTGCATGCTATTGGAAGCTGCCCTGTTTTGTGGCATCTCCTGTGCTCTGGCACTGCAGAAGCACATGGAGGTGCGATTGTTCCAGAGAACTCAGTTCTCGTTTAGGTACCACATTCTCAGAAGAGGGCAGGCCCCGATTTCGAAGTGCAAAATACCTCCTAAATAACGTGCTCAGGTCTTTCTCAGGTGTGGCAATCAGTGTCCCAAAGGGAGCTGCTGCGTGCTTTGGTAAATCCAGGTTGGAATGGGACCTAGGACTTTTGGAAAATCTAGCTCCCCATTTTTGGTGCTGAGACCTTGGACATCCCATCCATGCGGCGTGTGCTTCTGGTCTCTCTGTGCTCCCACCACAGAGTAATTTATCAGCAGCGGGAAGAAGGCACCTCCGTCCATCCCCAGTAACCAGCTCATCTTGTGTCTGGGATGGCAGGCGCCAGACACACTTACACAAAGAGACACCGTTCATTACAATGCCCTAGAAGGCCATTCCGGTCAGGAAACGGAAGATGCAGTAGGCAGTGAAGCTGGGCGAGAAGGCAGTGCTGGTGCCTGTGACAGCCATCTGCAAGTAGCACCAGATCACGAGAGACCTGCGGCCAAACCTGAGCCAAAAAGAACCAAGAGAACACGTGAGGGAAACCCAGGATACTGAGGCAAGTGTATTCAGAGTAGGAGTTAAACCTGGTGCAAGGAACTTCCTGGCTTGGGGAAGGGGCAAAGAGGCAGGAGGCCCCAGTTCCAAAACCAGCTCTGTGGCATGTGACAAAAGGTTATTAATGAAAATACTTCATGTCAGCCGTGCTGTAGCTGCTAATGATGAGGCCTGCAGGGCTGGATTAAGGCAATCTAGGGCCGTGGCAGTAGGCTTATCCCTTGGCTGATATCTGACTGTTAGAAAAACATTCACTCTTGATTTAAAAATTTCCAGGGCTGGAGAATCCACAGCACCCCTTGGGCCGTTGTTCCAATGGGTAATTCCTTTTGCTGTTAGAAATTTGCACCTTATTTCCAGTCTGAATTTGTCTAGCTTCAATTTCCAGCCACTGGCTCTTGTTAGACCTTTGTCTGCTAGATGGAAAAGCCTCTTATCAGATTGCTGCTCCCCATGTAGGTACCTATACAGAGAGCCCCATGTATTTTGCAAATGTGAAATAATATGAAATAAAGCTAAAAACTCACCCTGCAGTGGCAGCTCCTGTTCTGTGGAGCTCGGCCTGGCTCCCCACTCTGAACAGGGGAGGCGCCCGGCCAAACCTGAGCAGCTGGGACCCCGTGTGCCAGGCCACAACACCCTGAGTCGAGAGCCAGGCCCAGCCGCACCGCACAGGACCCCAGGAGCCGCTTCTGCGGGGTGAGTGCAGGGCAGGCTCGGGGGTGCAAGACTCAGCTCACCCAGAGCCTCCCAACCCCTGGTGGCAGGACTCAGCCCCGCTCCGGGGCCTCCCAACCCCCAGGGCAAGACCCGATCCCCTGCATGGGTAACATTAACAAAACAAAAATAACAAGGAATTCCCCCCCAAATAAAATAAACAACTATTAAAAGAATTCAAGGGACTCCACTTACAGACTGTGATCAAGTCACCCCTTAACCTTTGCTTTATAGATCGAGGTCCTGAAGTCTCTCACTGTAAGGCATGTTTTCCAAGCCTTTAATCATTCTTGTGGGTCTTCTCTAACCCCTCTCCAACCTACCAACATCCTTCTGGAATTAAGGACACCGGAACTGAACACAGGATTCCAGTAGCAGTCGCACCAGTGCCAAATACAGAGATACCATAACTTCTCTCCTCCTGCTCGAGATTCCTGATTCCCCCAGGAACCAGCCTTGCTCGGCTTCATACCGACGTTGCTCTCACTTCTCTGACAGACATCCACAGATGATGCCTCCTGCCAGGGTCCCAGCTATAAAGCTGGACTGAGCCATCTGCTACAGCTGCCGGGAGTCACATACCAGGTCCCACTGTAAGGGAGAGAGAAAACGAAGCTGGGCTTGTGGTTAAGGCCCCAAACTGGGACTCAGAAGATTTCAGTTTGATTCCTGGCTAATATTTTCAGAACCATTAATGGCATTTAGACAGCCAGTTCCTACAATCAGTTGGGATCTGTACAGTGCCCAGTGCAACGGGGCCCTGATTGGCGCTGGGGTCCATGCAGTATCCGGCACAAGGGTTCCCCAGTCTGAGCTGGGTCTCTGCAGTGCCTGGCAGAATGGGTCCTTTTGATGTTAATGTAGGATCAAACATAATGATCCCACGTGAGGCGGATGGTTTTGAATGGAGTGAGCGTTCAAGAGACTGGGACCCCTACTCCTAGCTCTGACACTGACCTTGGGCAAGTCATGCTGCCTCACTGTGCCTTGGTTTCCCCCAGTTGTGAGATGGGATAGTAAGGTTTAGTCACTATTGTAAAGCCCTATGAGATCTAGGGGAGAGCAGGGCTAGCTCTTAGCATCATTCACAGTTCCTTTAATGCGGATTAGTGGATTATGTCCAGTTTAATTGAGAGGAAACTGACTGCACAATAGACGGGGGAATTCCAACCCCAACCAGTGCAACCACAGCTTCCTCCTACTCATATACTGAAGGAATCAAGCCTCTGTGAAGCGCAAAGGCCGTGTCCTGCTTTCCTTTACACCTGTGCAATGGCAGCCGCTTGAAGCCGCATGGATTGAAGTCGCCTGGGGGGCCAGAATGTAACTGAGAACAGCACGTGGCCCTGGATGAAATTCTGCACTGACTTAGGCTGAAACCAAGCCGATGTCAATAGACATGCAGGGGCTGTAGGTTGGTGCAAATTTTAAGATCAGATACTAGGAACAGGAGGATTGATAGATAGATACTCTGACCCTCTCTGCCCAGAGGACAGTGAAACTTACTTGCAAAAATCTATGAAAAGGCGTAACTCCAACAAAAATATTTTCAACTCATCCACCCCAACTTCCACCCCATGGTTTCAGTATCCTTTTCCCAGCCGGTTACCTGCACTGCTCTCACGTACCTCTGTAATGATGGTGCTGGTGAAAATACTCTTGTCGTACACCCACCCATCAGCGCAGGGTTCAGTCTCCAGCTCGGTTAGGTTTGTGACTATGGCGTTGGAGTCTAGGAGCTGCCACTGCATAGTGACAAAGCGGTGACACTTCTCTGGCTGCTGGTTGCTGTCGATGGGGACGGAGACCCTGAGGAGGTCCTTGGCAGCGAGCTTTCCGGTGAGGTTGGTGTAAGGAGTGTTGTTGATGTTGATATGGACATGGCAGTGGTGCTCAGAGGTGGCAGCAGTGAAGTTCTGCAGGAGGTTATGGCTGGCCATCATGAAAACTGGGATAGCCAGTAAGATCGCATAGATGATTTGGAAGCGACCCATCCCCCCGACGTGGTCTAAGAGCTCGGCAAAACTCATGGTGCCGAGTTGCAAGATTCAGCACTAACGGTATGGGTTAAGCAAAAACAATGGAGCTCAAATAATGGTCGTTACCTGAATAGGTCGATTACTTGTAAAAATTAAACGTTGTGTGATCAAACTATCTACACAGAAAGACGTTAATTTGAATCCAGCTTGTATTCCACTTCACAACTTCAAAGACAGCCATAAAGCGCAACACTTCTTACAAATAATCAGCTGTTGGCAAATAGTGTGCATGGATTCTTGAGGGTGTCGTTTCCAAAGAAGAGGCACTGAGTTATATTCTCCCTAAATAAGTGAGTGTGCTACCCCGTTGCTTTTCCTTTGTTGCAAAAATTCCTAGTTTCCTGTCAATTGCGGGAAAACTCCACACACCTTTTCTATGAACGGTAGACACATAAAGGAATGGTTTTGCCAAGCTTAATTCCACGTTGATCCTTGCATTTTACCCTCTGGAAAAGCAGCTGGGGTTTATATATCCCTCGAGCAGTTATATAAGGCCTTAAACAGGTCACTTGGTTAAAATTTTACTTTGTTTTGCATGGATTAAGTCCAAAAAGGAGAGAGTCTGAAAGCAATGTGCTAGATACGGCGCTAAATGCTTCCAGTGCAGAGGTGACAAACACACTGATCCAAGCTGCTAAACCAGATTGCCTTTGGGTGAGTATATTATTCACACCACAGGGCTAGAAATTAACTATAACTAAAAAGGATCCAGATTTAGCTGAGATACCACAAACCCGCCTTTGTCCTGAGTAGGGTGATCAGACAGCAAATGTGAAAAATCGGGACAGGGTGGGGGGGGGGTCTTAGGAGCCCATATAAGAAAAATACCAAAAAATTGGAACTGTCCCTATAAAATGGGGACATCTGGTCACCCTAGTCCTGAGTCGTCACTATTCTTAAAATACCACCTGGATATACCCAGCAGAGATTGGAGCCCATTGTGCCAGGGATTGTACAACCCCATAGTGCAAGCCATCCCTGTCCCAAAGCGCTTACAGTCTAAATAGACAAGACAGACCAAAGGGAGGGTTGTAATTCGCCTTGGTCAGAAAAATTTTAGCAAAAAGGTTTTGCAGGAAATGTTCTGCAGGAAAGTGTCATTTTTGACAAATGTCTTGAAAAAAGATTTAAAGATGAAAAATTGGAGATAACAAGTTTCAGTTTTTCAGTGTAAAATGACTTTTTGTTTAGAAATTTGAGCTAAGTATAGTAAAAAATGTTTGGAAAATACAATATGGTTGAAAGATAAACAAAATGTTTCAACTGACCAAACAAAAGTGGCGCATACGCTTGTGCTGGGCCCACTACACAGGGTGAATTTTGTTCTGTCCTGGTTCTCCCAGGAGCAGACACCAGGTGTCTGGTGCTATCAGAGGCACCTTTATAAGATTGGCTGGAGAGTAACTTGCCTCTGCTCCTTAGTCTGTTGGGATCATTCAGACCTGAAGCGCCTACTTACACCGTGAGACAGAATTGACCGAGATGCCGGAAATGGCCAGGCCGGTGAGGAAGCGGAAGACGCAGTACGTGGTGAAGTTCGGGGAGAAAGCAGCACAGATGCCTGTTACCGCCATTTGCAGGTAGCAGCAGATCAGGAGGGCTTTCCGGCCCAACCTGCAGCACAGAGAACAGAGTTAATAGGGGAGTGGGGAGATCGGGAAGTTGGCCCAGGGCAGGGAAGTTGGAGGCTGATATGATTGCACCATATGGCACCCATTTCTCCTACTTTGATGATCTCGGTTCCCTGTAAGCACTGTTTGCAATGGAGAGTGCTTGAACCAAAATTCAGGGTTAGGAATTAATTTGAATGCATGACGTTATCCCAGTACACTTCTGTCGATGCCCCTCAAGCCGGAACTGCAGCCCTCCTGCTGTTCCAGCCCTGGCCTCCCCTCCCCCAGCTCTGTGATGCCCCTCAACCTTAACCCTGTTCCCTCTGCCAATTCATATCAGTTGTGACCTGCAGCATTCCTAGCAGTCCCTCTCCAGGGCCACTATAGAGTCCTGACCTGCAGGCAGTAGGTACATAACCATTGTGACATGTTTTTGGAGCTGGGGTTGGTGTGGCTCCAGCTCACACTAGCCACATGAAAGTGTGTGGAGTTTGGAGTCGCAACCTCACCATCTCACCTGTCCGCGAGGCGTCCAAACACAGCTGACCTCACCTGCACACCAGCCATGTAGAGCGACTGCACCATTTGCTGGAGTGTCCTGGACTCGCACACCAAATCCCACTGCACTGGGGGGAAGAAAACAGAGACCAGTGAGAGCAGGAAGATTTCAGGGCACACATTGCCTGAGTTGGAACTTTTTGAAAGTGCCTATGGGTGGCGGGGAGGGGAGGTTGGACATGCTGTAGCCTGGTCTGTAGAGAGGATATTTTGATCCCTAGGTCTTGATATTTTGCTCCAGACAGACAAAGAGATGGGAAGAGATGGCTTTAACCCACACTTGTGCTTCCCCTTTCTGGACCCTACTTAACCCCTGGGGTATGTGTAGAGTGGCCTCGGAGCTGCTCCAACTTTCACTCTTCTTCCTGATGCCGCAGGGAAGCAGAGCTCAGTGCAATCAGGCCACACCCCCTATGCTGCGGAGCTGGGAGTGGAGCATTTTTACTGGCCTTCCCACAGGGCTGGGTTATCAACAGGCTATTCACACCCCCCACACTGAAAATCTGAGCCCCCAAAATCAGGCTCTGAAGTGGACACACAGAGAAAAATTGGTGTACAGAGAACCCATAGGGTCAAGTGTGTGTATGGGGGGGATGGGGAGAGCTATACTGGTCAATCAGCAAACCTGTTACAGTACGAACAGTGGGTGTGGTTCCCCTTTCCCTGTACTTTGTAGAGTTGCCACCCATCCAGCTTTTCCCAGGGTCATTCCTTTTTTGAGGTAGCTGCCCTGGGAAATCTGTCAGGGTACTCAGTGCACCCTGACGGTTTTATGGGCTCAGGATCATCTTGGATGTCCCATTTTTTTGTACCTCAGAGGTGTGACGGGTAGAATCACAGAACCCCCCTTGGGAGCTGCCAACTGATGTGCCAAGACTACTTCTGCCCCTGCTTTCCCTGCCAGCTCGGGACCCCAGCACCCTGTCTTGCTGAGCCAGACACGCCCATCTGCTCCAACACAGACCCAGAGTCTGAATTACTTGCCCCACAGCTGCAAGCTTAACTGAAAGCAGCTAACAGAAGTGTTCTTGTCTTTAACACTCAGATCCCCAACTCCCAATGGGGTCTAAGCCCAAATAAATCCATTTTACCCTGTATAAAGCTTATGCAGGGTAAACGCATAAATTGTTCACCCTCTATAACACTGATAGAGAGAAGCACAGCTGTTTGCCCCTCCCGCCGATATTAATACATACTCTGAGTTAATTAATAAGTAAAAAGTGATTTTATTAAATACAGAAAGTAGGATTTAAGTGGTTCCAAGTAGTAACAGACAGAACAAAGTGAATTACCAAGTAAAATAAAATAAAACATGCAAATCTAAAACTAATACAGTAATACTACTGAGTACAGATAAAATTTCACCCTCAGAGATGTTTTCATAAGTTTCTTTCACAGACTGGATGCCTCCTAGTCTGGGCACAATCCTTTCCCCTGGTACAGCCCTTGTTCCAGCTCAGGTGGTAGCTAGGGGATTCCTCATGATGGCCACCCACTTCATTCTGTTCCACCCATTTATATATCTTTTGCCTAAGGCGGGAATCCTTTGTCCCTCTCTGGGTTCCCACCCCCTCCTTCTCAATGGAAAGACACCAGGTTAAAGATGGATTCCAGTTCAGGTGACATGATCACATGTCACTGTAAGACTTCATTACCCACTTGCCAGCACATTCATATACAGGAAGACTTACAGGTAAAACAGAGCCATCTACAGTCAATTGTCCTGGTTAATGGGAGTCATCAAGATTCCAAACCACCATTAATGGCCCACACTTTGCATAATTACAATAGGCCCTTAGAGTTAGATTTCATATTTCTAGCTTCAGATACAAGAGCGGTACATTTATATAAATAGGATGATCACACTCAGCAGATTATAAGCTTTGTAATGATACCTTACAAGAGACCTTTTGCATTAAGCATATTCCAGTTACATTAGCATATTTTCATAAAATCATATAGAGTGCAACGTCACAGGAGGTGGCAACCCTACTACCTTGTGTGGTCAGTTATACCTGTGCCAAGGGGGAAAAACAGTCTGCCAGATCACAACAGTAAGAGATTTGGTGGAGGGACTGTTTTTCACTGTGTGTGTATATGGAGCCTAGTGCAACATAACAGTCTACAAGCTACTGTGTTCTATTAGCATAGCACATATAGATCCTAAAGGAGATCTGGGGCCCCATTGTGCCAGGTGCTGCCCAGACCCCAACTGAGTTCAGGACTCCATTGTGCCAGGCGCTGCACAGACCCCGACCGAGATCAGGGCCCCAGTGTGCTATACCCACATAGTTAGAGACAGTCCCAAAGAGCTTACATTCTAAATAGACAAAGGGCGGGAGAGGAAACAGAGAGGAAGTGATTTGCCCACAGCAGATCAGTAGCAGAGCTGGGAATAAAACCTGGGAATAAAACCTCCTCTCTCAGCCCAGTACCCTAGGCACTGAGCCACACTGCCTCCCTATGACAGCATTGCCTGGACTATACAGAGTCAGGTTTCTCTCACCTCAGTTACAATGGTTTCAGTGAACAGGCTCTTATCATAGGTCCACCCGTCTACACACGGCTCAATGTCCAGCTCTATGGTGTTGGTGCTTGTGGCATTTGGGTTTAGGAGCTGCCACTGGGTGGTGACAAACTGCTGGCACTTCTCCGGCTTCTGGCTCCTGTCCATGGGAATGGAGACCCAGAACAGATCTTCAGCAGGTAGGCTGGCTGTGAGATTGGCATAATGGGTGTAGTTAGCCATGATGCTCACTTGACAGTGATGCTCTGGGATTCCAGCAGTGAAGTTCTGCAGGAGGTTATGGCTGGCCAGCATTAAGAGCGGGATGGCCAGGAATGCCACATGCATGACTTGAAAGCGTCCCATGCCATCAACGCAGTCCAGAAGTTCTGGAAAACCAATGGCTCTCGGGTGGCGCTGTATAGATCAAAAAAAAAAGACCAATGATGGATGAGAAGAATACACTCTTCCCCTGTGTTAGCAAAATATCTCAGTGGTTTGGCCAAAAAATAACTGCTCAGTGGTGCTGATTCACACCATAAAATGGAAGTATGGCCACTTGGGATGCTTATGCTGAATATCTTGCAAGGTATGTGCATCCCAGCAAATAGTCCCTTAATACCACAGGTTAAAATTGCAGAAGGTGGCAAGTTGGCTTAATAACTTTGCAGGTTGCCACCTGCATTAAGTGTCTGTTGTTTTTCCTGTTGCTGTAGAAATCCCAGGTTAACTGGTCCCAGTTTGTAGTGGCAAACAGTTCAGTCCCAAGTCAGTGGAAAGACACCCATTCCAGGAATGCTAGATGGATTTTCTGCCAGGATTGAATCCCTGCTAATCCCCAGGTTTTACCCTCTTGCAAACGGACTCATTGGTATATAAAGGCTTGATGTGCTCAGCCAGTTAAAGTTTTACTTTGCTTATATGGTGGATTAAGTCAAATAGGAAAATGTTTGACATGATATGGCGCAAAGGGCAGCGCTGGACAAAGGAACAAATCTGCAGAGCATAGTGGACAAGAATGATGACCTTGGTTAGTATATTAGAGTTATGGGATGGGTGTAGCATGGACTGGACTCTGGGCTAGATTCCGTATCAGTTACTGCTGATGTAAAGCTGGACTATTTGCTCTTGGGAGATTTTCGAAAGCACTTTAATGAAGCACCCAGGTCCTCTTACCTTTTAGTCCCTAGGAGAGGAAATACCTCTTCCACACAAGACGTAATTAGACTGGAATTCAGTGCCACAAGAGGCATT